GGGGGTATGTAGGTCGGGTGGGTTCATGAAAGAGTAAGAAGAGTGTCTATGTATACCTGAGTTAGAGATGTTGAGGCGGATTCGGAATTTGAAGCTTGATTATGACTAGGTTCAGAATACGGGTCAATTTTTTACGTTGTTCGATTTTAATTTAATAATTATTACAAATTTAAATAAATTTCTTAAGATAAATAAAAAATTTAGACTAATATTACTGAACATGTAATGTTTGAATTATGTGAAAATTATGGCTGACAAACTTCTGGGAGTTTGATAATTTTTATCGTTAAACAATTAAAAATTGTTGATTTTTATTTAACAATAAACTAGTGATGAATTATTAAAGAATTTTTGTTAATTAAGAATATTGTAGAGACAAATTAACGATGAATTTCATAGTTAATTCTTGTTTTTGGTGTACCTATTTACTTTTTACTCTATTTTCATGAATTGTGAGAACATGAATATACTTATTTATGCCTACTTTAAAAGTAAATAATTGTAAATATTTAATTTTTTTTTAAGGATATGTTGGTTATTTATTTTAATTCATAGAAATAAATGGTCAAAATTTATGAAATAGACTAAGTTTAAATAAGTCTTAACAATTTGATATTTGTAATTCGTGCATTCTATTGAAGTAATCAAGATAAGTAATGAATTTTTTTAAATATGTACATGCATCTGAATCGTGTGAAAAAAATCTAAACAAACGCATGAAATTCAATTTTTGTAATTCGTGTATTCAGTTCAAACTAATCAAGTGAAGTAGTGAAAGAGATTAAGTATGCATATGTAACTCGATTGACTATTGAAAGAAATTGACTATGCATGTGTAAAGTAGTGAAAGAAATCGACTATACACGTGCAAATCATGTGAAAGAGCTGAAACAAGCGCATGAGATTTAATTTTTGTAATATGTGTTTTAAGTTCAAACAAATCTGGTGAAATAGTGAAAGCGATTAAATATACACATGCAACTCAATTGACTATGCACGTGTAAAAGAGATTAACTATGCACGGATGAAGTAGTGAAGAAAATTGACTATGCACATGAGGATGTTGAGGCGGATTCAAATTTTTTGAAGCGTAAGTATGACCAGGTTCATAATTCGGGTCAATCTATTACGATATTGCTCGATTCTAAATTATTATTTT